CAGATAATGTTGTAGAAGAAATTGATGAATTAATATAAATGCATTTTTTGGAAAATCACGTGATAAAAATTAAAAATAAAAAAAAATTTTGCTTTTTTTTTTTGAATTTGAAACATTTTGCACAGAATTTGATGTGTTAGAGTGACCCGCACCGTACTAAAACCTAAATTTTGCTGAAATTAGATGATTTGCAAAATTCAATAAATTATTAATCTTGTCTTGTTCCTTTGGTGTTAATGATTGAATCGATCACACAAGTAGTAGTCAATTTAAACGGCATTGTTTTTAAAGAATTTATTCAAAATAATATTATTACGAATATAATTTAATTGATGATGAATTCACTAACTGACGAATTTGTATAAAAAACTGGTACTATACTTTAGTACTATAAAATAATATTTTTATTTTGAGTTATGAAATAAATGTCAAGGAACATATCTATACTTTTTTTTTAAGAAAAACAAAAAAAAAGGGATTACTCTCGGAGGTGTAGAAAATGAGTGAGATTTTTCATATTATGAGATAAATATTCGCGTCTCATATTTCAACTTGAATATAATTCGCCAATTTATTTTTTAATTAGTGAAGATTTTTAATTTTTATTTATGCTCAGTTGTTAAAGCCATAAAATTGTAATATCAATCGAGTAATAAAAGTTACATATAGTTTTGTCCTTTTATTATGCAAGATCACATTAAATCATGCAAATTTGTAAGTATAGATCTTAAAAAAGTGCAAAAAACATTTCTTTCGTTATATTAAAATAAATAGTTTACTTTGGAGAAGCTACGGATTCCGAGTATAAAACCTATCAATAGAAAATTGATGATAAAATCTTTTATTTGTATTTTTCCTATAAAAAAGCTAATGAATTGGAACTTTCAACAAAACACCTTCTTCGAATTCATAAAAATTACTAATGATGACAACAACAATAACATGTTGACTTTACCACAACCACCACACCACATCAACAACGCTGCCAATTGGTTTATGTTAAAAGCAACTCTTATAGACCATTACCTCTAATTAATAATGATGGGCCACAATTATTATCTTCATTCGATTATGGAATCAACAATGAGGTCACTTTAATTGTAGTTATTTCTTGTCATATTTTAGTAGTAAAGTCTAATAGCATGAATATTGATCAACATTGTTCTGAACTAGTCAATATGTTAGCATTAATTAATACAGAGATAATTGATGCTAGTGTTGGTTGCCAAAACTATCTTGAAGAGGCGAAAGTCAAAACTAAAATTAAAAGTTATATGTCAAAACTAAATCAAAAGTCAATAGCCAAAAATCAAAACTAGTTTCGACTTATGGCGAAACCTTTTGACTTTCGCACGGTTGGGAAACTCTCTAATTTTGGAAACCAACACTAATTGACACACATTTCAACAAATCTGTCCCGCCCCGTTAAAAATTGTTGAGTAGAATGCAGAATGAAAAAAAAACGCACTTTCAATATGAAATGCAGTAGATATGAAATATGTACTCTCATATCTAATAATCTGGAATCGATGCAGAATATTTTTGGTCTGAACGATAAAAAAGACCATAACGTGAAAATTATGTTTTGAGAAAATTGAGTTTATTATTGTTTTTAGCACAACAGAAACAGTATCTTGACGAATGGTTGATTTAACTGGGACACGTAAACTTTTCCAACCCGATACTTGCTTTGAAATATCCTCTAAAAATGCCAAAAGAACCAGTAACTTGACAGATTGATTGTGGAAATTATTAGAAAAGAAACTAGTGAACAAGAAAATTGGAAATTTTCTGAAAATTACATCGGAAATGAATTCATAATTTTATTATTATTATCAAAAATAGGTTTCTATTTAATATTAAAATACTAATATATACATTAATATTTTTAAACCTCCGTGAATAAACAACCTGTTAAAAAAAAAAAATAGACGAACGAATTGAAAAACTATCAGTAAAATGCGTATTATTAGTGGAGAATTTAGCGACATAGACATTTGGTCGAGATGGGTCCATATGCACTACTTAGAATGACAAAAGAAAATAACAATAAAGAAAGCAATAGTAGAGGCTTGGAATCGACTAAAATAGTCGACTAAACTTTTTTTTAAACAACTAATAGTCATTGACTACTAATACCAATACTACTAATACTAATACTAATACTATGCTAATATTATTATTGTCTGACCAGCTACAATTTTTGTGTTTTATCATTCAAAATGGAAAATTTCGATGCGGAAGATTATCAATACCACCAATACGATGATGACGACAATAGTAGTGTGTTGTTGATGATAATTTTACATGTGAATGAATAAACATCACCAATACAAGGTCTAATAGTTCATTGGTTTCAAGTTCCAATGATTTAAGCGGTTTATAAAAACGAATCGTAACACATGGAAGTATTTTGAAAAAGTGAAAGATTATAATGGAAATGAATTTGAAATTTGCAAATCAAAAAAAAAAAAAACGAAATATTATTATTAACGTTAAATTAAGAATAGATGAAAATTATGTGTTCAGTTTTTATAATGAAAAGTCATGTCTGTGTTTAGCTTATTACAAAATGCTACAAACCTTTCTTATATATATGTATATTAGCTTTAGTTTTACAAATATATCATTTTCATTTTTGAATGAATTTAATTGGGGTGGAATTTAGAGCGATTATGATTGGCAAGTATTAAAAAGGGAAAAATATCGTGAATAATATTAATGTTAATATGCACATACATGCTGTGATCCATTTATTATGTGTGTTAACGGGATTTGAATTTGACGTTAACTCGCTAATTGAAAACACTATAATCCCGAAGTAATCTTTTTTTTATTTTTATTATTATATCTGTATTCCGTATATTTATTAATTATTTTGATATTTTCGTATTATTTATTTAGAAGGAATTAATGGCGATAAAGGAGCTCTATTGCTTTGTTAATTGTACCATAAAGTGTTTACAGATTCACCAAAGCTTTAAGAAGGAGGTAATAGGCAAAAATTTATATTTTGTCCAAGAATGGTCCAGGACATTTAAAGTGAAAGACGCAGTCCCGGACCGGACAGTCCGTGTCCATGTCCGCGTCCGCTGACAACACTGGTCATAGTATTATTATTACTTTGGTGATGCAATATTTTCTCTATTTATTTGTAATGATAATATCAATTATCTTTGCTGTCCCATTAAGGAGAAATGCAAAAGAAAGGTAAAACTAAAATTATTCTGTGATTGGGTCAAGTGTTTACTTGTAGCCAACTAAGCCATTTCTCTTTTTGGCAGGCGGGGAAAGAGAATATCTCCATTCGAAACTATTTTAAAAGATTGGGATAATTTTGTTATTAACCTTACTCTATAGAATTCATATATACAGGGTGTTAAGAAAAAAACAGCAGTTTGTAAAGATATTGTTTTTAATGAAAAAGTAGCCAAATTATATATCAGAGAATTGGAGGATCATAGATTATGACATATGAAATTTTTGAAGCATATTATTATGTAAGCTTTAAAAGAAATTTATGCGTTGAATTGTTTTTTCAAATAATCAAATTCCTTTTATTTCCAATTGACAAAATTCTAGAAAATCTGGAAGTATGAAGGTTTATATATAATCTCTGGAACTTTCATTACAAATTGGTATGATTTTTTGTATGTTTATTATGTATATTTTTGCATCAGGATTATTATTAAAAAATTCCATTTTAAAATTTCAGAGACAAAAAAAGATATGATTTAGCTTTACAGAAAATTGGCAATAGCATATCATGTCTATTTTTTTTATTTAACAAGGCAATTTGATAAACTTTCAAATGAATCAAAATTTATTTAATTATGTAATTATTGAGATATGCAATTTTTTGTCACTGCAGTTTTTTTCTTAACACACTGTAAATACTAAATGATGAATATTATTACACCCGATCCTGATGATGCTAATGAGAAGGGAAGTATTCAGATGGACATTAACATGAAAAAAGAAAAACAACTGATACCTGCATTGTAATGTGAAATGGAAGTGTTAATTTTTATTTATTTTACTATTTATCAATCACTTGATTGAGCATTAACTCATTATTATATAATCTGTATGTTACAAACCTTTTGAATACTTGGTAAGAAATTCATTGATAGAAGAGAAAGATGATGACAATATTCCTTTAACTGGAAATTAGAACAGACAGTATAATCCTCATGGCTGGACACGTAAGAAAATTTCATTTAAAATTTGTTGTAACGAAATTACTAATAATATTATATACTAATTCACCTCAACAAATCTATGTTGTGTGTGAAAAATGAAATTTATGCAGTTGAGCATACACATGCGGATTTTTCACTGATCAATATATGTAATATAAAAATACAAACTCTATCTCCTCCAAACAATGTTGTTAATTCCTTATATTTTTTTTTGTTTTATTAGATATTCAAAATAAACTTTAAACAAGAATCAAAAAATATAAAGATGTTAAGTGAAAAGAGTAAGTATTTTCATAACTGTAGGAATCATCACATTCTATAGTATATATAAGATATATAAACTTAAAACTAAAACAATTTCTAGTATAATTTTTATTCGTTGCGTCGAGCAAAAATTTATTTATTTATTTTATTTAAAAAAAAATATATATAAAAAGAAATTATAAAATTAATAAAAGATCCATTGCAAAAAAGAACCATCATGTGGATCAAAAGTTATTTATAAATTTGAAGATTTAGAAAAAGTTTACGATTTGAACACTTGTAATAATAAAGATAATTTTTTGGATAAGTGGGCCATTTATTTATATTATCAAGTATTTAAACGATTGAGCAGACCAACTTATTGAGTTTATAATTCTTTTATTTTTGTAAAATCACGTGTTTTGATGTTTGAGAGGTCTGATTACTGTGCCCAAACCATTAATCAAGCTTTACCCGTATATGAGATTTCATACTAGTACTAGTATGGTTTTTCTATACATTTTTCGTAGATTTTTTGTATGGAATACACTCCCTGGACTAGAGGTTGGAATCGACTAAAATAGTCGACTAATTTAGTCAACTAACTTTTTTTTTAAACAACTAATAGTCGACTAGTTGTTTATTTAGTCGACTAATACTAATTATTATTATTGTCTGTGACCATTTTGCGAAGCAAATGGTTATACGCTAGTGTTAAAAAAATTTAGTCGAGTAAATAGTCGACTAAAAATAATCGACTAAAAGAAATTTTGACCAACTAGTAATCGACTAAGGATTTTTTGGACGATTCCAACCTCTAGGCAAAAAAATTTTTTTTCGTTACGCAAGTGGGAAATTTAATAAATTTTTTATTAGTTAAAAAAAAATTAATAATTCTTTTTATTAGTAATAAATATCTTTATTTTCTTAATTAATTTATTCTTTATTTGTATTAACAAATAGCTTACAAAATACCCAAGCTCATAAGTTAGGTAAAATAAAACAATAATAAAAATACAATAATAATAATAACGAAAAAAATAAAAAGTTTTACACGTGACGAAGTCACTTGTCATAAATCATTCTTCTAGTTTTTTTAACTGTTATTCTCCCAAACATTACAAAATTTGAAATTTTGCGTACATATTCTTGAGAACATTAATCACAATTTGATGAAATTTATCTGTGTTTTATTATGTACGTTTTTGCGTAATTAATTGTTTTGTGGTGACCGAAACTTTTGTCCAGGGAGTGTATTATATACAATAAATAAGTGTATACCTTTTCCTACTACTTCTCTATCTTAGTTGTTTTGGCGAATATGCTTTTTCTAAATAAAGATGAACGAAAACTCGTAAATAAAGTCAATTAAATAATACATAATATGCAAAAGTTGTAATTTTTCTCTTCTCATCTGATTCATGACCTAATTGATCCAAATTAATCCGGAAGTTGAAATATAAAAAAGCCACATATTAATATATATATATATTAATATAAAGGTTCTGTCGTATGCATAATTAATTAAAATTTATGTCATATATACAACATAAATTAAAAATTGATATAAAACGAATTTCAAATTTTCCTCGTTTTGAATCGAGTTTTTTTAATTCTTTTAATTAAGAGATTCTAAAAAGTAACCATTTATTATTTTTTCGGACGTGTAAACAAAAATGATTTCATCGTCAAAAGAGAAGGGAGAAGATTACTGTCAAGTTAGTCATATAAATTTGTTTGTTGCCTCTTTTTAATAATAATAAAATTCTAAATTATATTGATATTTTTTCTTCCAGATAATGGAAAATAAAAAATGTATTCTGGCTATTGGGAGGACAGGGAACGGGAAAAGTTTTACAGCAAAAATTTTTGGGGCGAATGATGCGATAGTATCTGATGGCGCAGATTCGTGTACCAAAGGAACCATGTTATATACTTGTGGAGATAATGGTTTCCTATACATTGATACGCAAGGTTTTGATGACTCCGAAGGAGTGAAGGGTGGTGATGCTCAAACGGCTTTATCGATTCTCAAAACTATGAATGAAAATGGTATCACTAAACTACACACAATTCTTTGGTTTGTTGTTCCTGAAACTCGTAAACTTGGATCTTTAACTCGTCAAGCAAAATTTATTCAATCACTTGCTCAATATTATGATGGCAATGTTTGGGATAATGTGATTATTGTTATGAAAGGTGACACATTATCCGAAAGCCCAATTAAAGCAGCAGAAGAAGCATCAAAAACTTTTGATAAATACAAGGATTTTCAAAAAAATATTAAGGTTTTTCATATTTTTTTGTATGAATATCTTAATCCAAATACACGTAAAATATATGAAAATTGTTTAAATGATGATATGCTTAATGAAATGGGGTAAATAATAATTTTTATGTTAATTGTTTAAAATTATTTTACAACAATCAAAAAACCTTTTTTTTTATTTTGAAATTAGAATTTTCAAACAAGCAGAACCAAAAAAAATCTTAAATCGGTATATTGAATTAATGAAAGGTCATGATCAACATCTTGTTACAATTCTATTTAAAGAAGCAAAATGCCTAAAATGTCCAGAAAAGAATGATCCAAGGTTAACAATTTCCAATTGTCATGGTGAAACGGAAAGAAAACATGAACATCATAAACAAGTTCATCCTGGAGAAATTTATAAAAAACATCCATCTGGTCTTTCTGGTTACCATCTAGGAAATTTAGAAAAACATCATCCTGATCGGAGAATTAAAATACATAAATTTAGTTATGTTACACCATTCCATACTGGCCAAAAAATTGAATACCATCCTAACGAAAATTCAGTGCATCCATTAACAGCAGTAGGGTACCAATATGAAGCTCCTGATTATGACTTTTGGCCATCAGTTACAAGAGTTGTTACATTTACAATTGTTAATCCACATAGAACTGTTCATACTCCAAAAATTCATGGATGTTGTGGTTGGGGAGAAGGTTCAGATGGCTGTTCTTATGCTTGTTGTAAACAATCAAAGGGCAGTATTGGATGTAAAGAAAAATATAATTGTTGCAATAATTTCGAACCTTGCAGAAAAAAACATGATTGTTGTAATCAGATAGTAGGAGCAGATGATAATGGATGTGAAACAGTTTATAATTGTTGTCAGGGAGAAGTTAATAGTGAAGGCTGCAGAGATCGTTATGAGTGTTGTAAACAAATGGCAGAGTGTAGCAGGAGATATGATTGTTGTGGAGTTGATTTTAGTGATGGTAATAAGGGTTGTAAAGAATATTATTCATGTTGTGGCATTGAAGTTAGTAACAATATTGGTTGCACACTTGTTTGCAATGGTTGCTCTAGAGATTTAGATTCTCCTGGTTGTATGGAAATTTGTAAAATTTGTCATAATGATCCTCAAAAGGGATCTTGCGTATTAAATCATTATAAACATGATTTCGGACCTAATGTTCCTGAATCAGTTGTCTGGTAATTTTAAACAAAGAGCATTAATAAGAATGATTAGTATAATTTTTGCTATCTATTTTAAGTTCTTTCTTGGTTTTTGTCTGGGTGTTCCTTGCTGATTGGCTATCAGGTAGATAACATTCAGAAAGGAACATTAAGACATTTATTACATATACTTATTTTGCATTTATTCAAAATTATTTCTCAAAATTATTATTGTAATAAAAAAGCAACATAATAATCATTCAAATTATAAAAAGTTCACATTTTTTGTATTGATAAATAAATTTATCAAAATTTCACTAAACTTAATAGACATAACATAAAGCTATACCCACATGAAAACTTACAATATTTTTCATCTTTTCAACTGCACTCTTCAAGTTTATATTGGAGAAAAATCATAGTTTTGAAATAAATAGTAATGCTAATTTTGAATAACTATAGCTTGATTAAAGTTTGGGTGTTTGGATGCAAATTCTGTTTGGCCAATTTTGAATTTCACATACAGTCAGACTCCTATATAAAACTATATTGCATTAGAGCTTCAAATAAAGAGATACAGACATGAAACTAAGGGAAGTTATAGTAAATAGATTAAGCTTTTAGATTACAGAGAGTTTCTTTTCTTGCTAATTAAAAAAAAATTTTTTTATATATTCTAAAGAAATTGAAAAAAGATTGCTAATAGGAAAACTTTATAACCAAATGAGATATGGAAAAAAGCTCTTTGTAAGTTTATTATAGAAGACTTAAACAATAAAACTATAAAAAGTTTTGTTTAATTTTATTATGAAAAAGTTATTCAATTTATTATTAAATTTTATCATAAAAATTTACATTGTAACTGATAAATTAATAGAAATTTCTTTTTATAATCCATGTTTTCAAAAAAATATATGATAAAGATACTAAAAAATCCACACATAATACTTTGTTATATTGATGTAACATATGTTTGATGATCAACAGCCATCAAACACCACAATAATTGATCCTGTTGTAGGGATTAGTGGTGTATTTGAATCTGATTTATTAAAAAACAGCTTATATAGGCTTCTTCAGAGTTAAGAACCAAGTTTTTTTGCTTCTTCTTCTAACACTGGTTGATCACTGATCAACAAAAAAATTATTAGATAATTTAGATTTGGTTTTAATAATTCATTTTGATTCTTTCTTTCTATAACATTCCAAATCTCTGCATGATTTTTCATTAGATCTTTGTAATATAAGCTGACTTAGACATTGTACAACTTATTGTTGTAAACAAATCATCTACATCAAGAATATATGCCTTATTTAAATAATAACATAGTGTTAATTAGAACTAGTAAAAAAAGGCATATTTGTTAAATATTTTATATTTATTTATATTTACTTACATTTGAAATCACATTTCTTATTCTTTAAAATTTTTCATTGAAATTGATGGTTTAAGAGTTGTTTGAACATCACTCTATTATAAGGCGAATTAACAAATTAGTATGATATCCTTCAGATATATTTAAATTGTTCAATCTAAAAAAAATTATTATTTTACTTCTTCAGACTCATTTTTTTCTTCATTGTCATTGTCTTCTTCTGGTTCATTTTCTTAAAGTTATCTATAAGATCCCAAACGATCCAATTATTTGTCTGTTCATCCTGTTTTGTTTGTGTTGCTTATAATTAAGTAGCTATATTATTGAATAATAGAGAAATACTCATTTCACATTAGAAAATATATATATAATAAATTTCAGCATTAAAATAAATTATTAATTTACCTTTACAATTTATCATAGTAAAAACTCCTCCGATTGTTAATGATTTCAAATTTTGGTTTGTAAAAAAAAAATCTTTTTAGCACTTTTTTTTACTCGTATCAGATCCTCACAACTTATAGTGAGCGTTGCTTATTGGTTTAAAAAAAAACAATACAATTTTGTCACACAAAATTCAAAATATCACATTTTTTATTACTCCTGTATGCTTTTACAACACAAAGGACGTCCTCAGAAATTAAGATATTAAGATTTGGTTTGGTTTGATTTGATTAAGAAGGTTAATATTAATATCCTCAAAAATTAAATATTTAATTGTACAACCTTGAAAAATTTTGAAATGTAAATTTGTATCTGTTTCAAATATTTCAAATATTTTGGATATTTGTAATTATTTTGGACATTCATAATTATTTGAGATATTTGTATTTATTTTGAATATTCATAATCATTACATTACAAATATTCATAATATTTGAAAATTGAAATTTTTGGATTTAAAATATTCAAATAAGGTAGGATTACAGTTAGGAATCCTACTCTGCAAAAAAACATGTTATTACTAGAAAGTCTATGCACTAATTTATAACTCATCTCAGCTGGTAGAATACAATTGATTGAGTTATTCTATTGTCACTTCTTCCTGGACTTGGTAATCCATGAACTTCTGCATAATTTTCAGGAAAGTTTTTTACTATAGCAATATTTTTATCAATTGCCATTTTCTAGAAAATCCTTTACTACTTCTGCAACATTTTTTACCAATTACCATTTTAGTTTTCCATTGAGTCATTCTTTTAATATTACCATGAATTCTTGGTAAAAGACCATTGTTTATCAGGTGACTTCTGATATTTTCAAAGTAAGTCCCACCAATTCCCAACATGTTGAGATAAGTTTCTTGACAAAAAGGTGTATTGTGATCCCAGTGATAGAAAGTTCTTTTATTAGATCTAATTTTCTTTTTAAGGCTTGCTAATCCACCATCCATTGCCTTAAGTTGGGCCATTAAAAATATGTCTTGTTCAGACTTGTAAAGAGCTTGAAAGGATTCCCTTAATTCTGCAAATTGTTTCTTGGGAATCCTTGAAGAACAACCACAATTACAACCTTGTTCTAAAAAATCAATTGCTTCTTGATATTCATTATAACCATTATATTTATTATTACTTTTCATATATACTTATCCCTATATATAATTTATAATTTTATGTTCACTTTGTAGTTTTTTATAATTGTTTTAAAATTGAAGGAAAGTATATGAATGGAATTAAGCTTGGATGAATCAATGGAATAGAATAGTTTTAGGTAAATGATTTAAAAGATATGATTGTTCAATAACTTGTGAAGAGAAATTGGAAAATTTGGTCAACCTCCCCATGAAAAATAATTATTGCCTAGATTTAAGTTGGCTTATCATCATTAATAATCAAAATGAGGAAAGACAATTTAAAAAGCAAACAATAAATGAAATAATAACAATTTAATAAAAAATTGACTATCTTTACCAATGAATTTTTCCACACATTGTTGATCATAAACAGAAAATGTTATTATTGCTTTAACAAATCATGTGTAGTGGTTTATATTTTGTTTACTTTTTATAGATGTAAAATTTACTTAGTTTATTTTGAGATAATCAATTAAATATCTACTGAATAGATTATAACAATAAGATTAATTATAGTTTATTTATATTTTTATTATTTAATTAATTGTTAATATATATTTATCACGAAATTCTTCATTGAATAAATAAAAAGAAAAAATAGATTAACAATTAATCATAAGACTTATTTTCCTTCAAAGTATTTTTGCTTTTTATTAGATAATAATGCACCTTCATTTTGCTTTCTTTTTCTGACATTATTATTTTTCTTTCTTCTTGGTAGATTTCATAAGTAATCCTTTCTTTCCTCAGGTAAGATTCCAGTGTCTGAGTATCATTTATTTGAAAATATAAAGGAACAATTTTTTCTCTTTGCTCTTCTTTTAATTACTTCTGATTATACTATAATTCTTGGGTTCCATGGTAGATTTGATGTAAATTAATTTCATATTAACTATTTTTATATAGGGGTAATTCTATATATCACTTAAGATAGAGAGACATTATAAAACTGATCACACTAAAATCATACTAAATTTTGATCCCTGTAATACCAATGTTCACTTTGTCTGGTTATGTTGATCTTGTTTACCCTTTCAATTTGTTTGTGGTAATTACAGCAGAGAGCACTTATGTCCTCTACTGTCTTCATAAGCAGTTACATCTCAATCAAGCATTACTTTGCATTGAAGGCAGAAAATTGTTATTCTATCTCATATTTCACTACCTTTGGTGTTAAAACTTCTTATCTTAAAAGGTCAATCAAACTCTTCTTTTCTTTTACACTTTTCTAAGGCTTCTTTAAAAATCTTTTTTTATTCCTTTCTCAATCAGCAATATTATTATCTAATCCTTGTTGCAACAAAGTTTCATCACATCCTCAACAACAAAATTTAATGATTTCTCTTCCTTCTTCATCTCATCAATTAATTGTTAAACCATCTTTTATATTAAAACATTGTTTGATAATAGCAGGATAATAAGTTTTTTTCTTGTGTTGTTTTTAATGTAGTTTTAACAAAAAAATCAAGTCAGTACTCAATCATGAAAGAGGACTCTTGAAATTATGGTTGGAGTGGAACATTATTGTTGGCTTCAGAAATATCACCAAGAAAGATAAAAATAGACAGTAAGTTTGTTTGTATTAGATTTTTTTGCCCAGAGATTTCTGTCTTTTGTTTTATAATTGGTGCATTCTCATACTGCTTTCTTTTCTTAATTATTTTTCTTTCTTCTTGGTAAATTTCACAAGTAATCCATTCTTTTCTTAGATAAGTTTCCAATGCCCGAGTATCATTTATTTTGAAAATATAAGGAGCAATTTTTTCACTATAATTCTTTGAGACCTAATTTCGTATTAACTATTTTTGTCTAGACAAATATCATGATAATACAACGGTGATGTTAAATACTATTGATCCCTGAAATTCTTGGTAATACCAATGTTCACTTTGTCTGGTATGCCCCATTTTTACTTGATAAGCAAATACGATTGGAATAATAAAATTTTTGCATGTCACTTTATTCAATTATAATTATTTTTGATGATCTGCAAGTGTCCTTATATTTTTGACCAGGAGTGTGTATCTATTATTATAAGGATTATATACTAAGGATACCGGCTGCAACTTTTGATGATGGTTGCTACCATCTTTGCGTCATATAAAAATGATTTCAACCACTGGTTACAACCACCTTTACGACCATTTTGTTTCATTTTTTGGATTTCGACATGGAACACTATTATATACAACTGTTGAGAAAATCAGACCATGTTTGCTTTAGCACAATAATGAGATACAAGACTTCAAAAACACGTGAACATAATTTTGCAGGGACCATTACTCAAAAAAATTTATAATGTTCCTAGTATTAATACTAACCACATTTTGTCAAGACTCGCACATTCAAAAAAAAATTTAAGAATTTTTGTTGTGTAACAGTACAAATTTAGAAACTATCTCCGGAAACTTGAAATTTGATTGGATAATAATGTTACATCCGCGAATTCCGCGTATTGAAACTTCAACACCAAAGCTGCTGATATATCGTTATAAGCAATTAATGATTATCGCCGTTCATAATAAATTATTAATGTGCAAGTCAACAAGAGCCAATAACTTTAGCATCTAAAAACAAGCACGTGAATAAAATTTCAATAATATAATAATAATAATAATAATAATAATAATAATAATAATAATAATAATAATAATAAGACAACGAACGTAATAGTAAATCGAAAGTCTAACCTCGTCCAATCCATCAGTTATTTGCCTGATATTTTGATTATAATCATCTACGATCATTACCACCGTAACGGTGAGGTACTTTGGCGTTTTAATGATCATATCCTACTACATTATTGATATGTACGAATCATTTTAATTCTGTTACATATTAATAATTATATAGGTCCTTTCCTTTTTTTGATTAAGAAATATAATAATTACAACAATAATGAATGTTTTTCTTGTGGGTTACGAACCGTTTCTATTTTCGGAGAAAATAGATATTGTGTCTGTATTTGTGCCAAGGCATTTGTTGGACGAATTTGTTAGTTTTGGGACAAGCACAAGAAATATGACGATCTTTGTTGAAAAGAGTAATAGGTTTATTACAAAAAAAATTAATTATTTCTCTTCACAGTTAATTTCATTAATTTAAATCTTCTTTTTATTAAAAGAAAGAATATATTATACATATTATTTACCAAAATTATAATAAAAAAAGATTAAAATAGGAAAAAATACATCATATTGGTTATAGGTTTTAAAAAAATATATCTTTGTAATGACAAAATTTACAAATGACTATATAGTATTACTAAGTTTCATAATAATATGTTACGTCAGGATAATATCGATCAAAGCTCAGAGCCCTATAACTATCCAGTTATTTGATTCAATAATATCAAACGCAACTATAAAATCTGGACAAACAATTCATTACATGTATAATGTTAGTCAAGCAGGAAATGTACTGCTAAGGAACATTAGGAGAGATATATCAACAGAAAAGACATCATTGGAAACCGATAATTCACAAATTGTAAAAAATAATCTGATAACAAATAACATATTTATAACGTTGACAATTTGTAAACAACCGCTTTCAGCTGAAAATAACACAATACCGGAAACATTACAAATATTTTATTCTAATTACTCGGTACCAAGTGCAGACGATAGTAATAGCAACCCAATTAATTGGGATTATGGGTTTGCATCAAAAAATTTAACAAATTATGAGGAAAATGTGCTATACATAGGAGTTTTTGCTCCTACATTTAACGCGGAATTTGCAGGGGATTATAATTTTCAAATTGGAGTCTCATCAAAAGGTAATGTTTTAAAAAGTTTATTATATTAATATTTAAATTTTTGATATTTATTCTATATTATATGCTAACATATAAAAAAACAACAATGATATAGCTATTTAATTATAAGCAACACAAACAAAACAGGATGAACAGACAAATAATTGGATCATTTGGGATTTTATAGATAACTTTAATATTTGCATTTTAATTCAAACATGATGAATTTAAAAACTGCGGAACGATACACACACACGGTTTTGCCTACACGGAAAAAGGACAGTAAAGTTGATCGTGATACATGCAGACGTTCTTGACCCCGTCATGGAAAAAACGTTGTACGATTTGGTCATGAAGTGAATGACAACTGGATGAGCCTTTTATTATTAGTTTGTTAATTATATATATAACTAAAGGTAAATAAGAATCTGAAATTTGTTATATTGCTATATGAATTATAAGAACACAAACAGAATGAGTAAATATATTATTATTTTGACGATTTACAAACTATTTAACTGTAGAAAAAAATTTTTTGGATTCACACACTTCATTCAGGGAAATCAAGTATAAATTCAAATTTTTGTATCGCAGTAGTAAGGATGGTTTTAAACAAAACTACAATGTGATAATATCAACAAGACCCTTCTGTTGCCAAAATACAAATTCCAGGGCAAATTATTGGTGGTTATAATCCACTTATTGTAAAGTCTGGAAAGATAGCACCCCGTGACATTACCTTATTTTTATGGTTTGTCACACACAATTTATTATATTAATCATCAAAATTTCATAGTATCTTTTCAGGCTTTATGGTAATTGGAATGGAAGTGGATTTAAGAACACAATAGAAAGTTATAAGTGATAGAAATGATATTAATACTGCTCAATTAGTTATGTAATTGACTGTCAGTGTAAGCATGCAATTTGGTGCTTTCCTACTTGGTTTCCCAAGTTTGGTAGTGGATTTGATCTTTCAATTAATACAGATTGTTGTTTGGGTGGTAGGGTTTGTATTCACGGATACCGTAAAGAGGGTCACACACTATTAAAATCAAGCGATTAACATGTGTTTTACGGTATTCACAGTATCCGTGAATACAAACCCTATTGGGTGGTTCACCAAGATCTTATAATAACATTAATATAGTAAAGGGCAACAATTCGATGAATTTGAGGTTTTTCAAATAAGATAAAAAATAATTAATTGGGCATCTTCACATGTGCTAATGGGATTAACATTTCAGATAGGATTTAGATTAGATTAAAATTTTAATTTTTTAATGTTTACGTGTAAAATTCAATATATCGTTATAAAATAAATAAAAATGAATATTTTTGCAACTTTTTTTACTATATTTCTTTAAAAAATAATAAGTATATATATATGTGTGTGTAATACAAACGTTATTTAGTGCAGCTTCCGCACTTATTAGAAGACAATAAGTCCTGATGAAATATTTTGACAAAGATTATTTAAGATATATTTAATTAAAAAATTAAAAATTAATTTTTCTGTGAACCGTTTAAATTTTACCTAGATGCGAAATTTATAGATTAGTATTGGTATTGGTAAATTGTTTTCCTTTTTGCTAATGTTCTTTTCCCTTAGACAGTTTTCAATTGCTTGAATATCAATATTGATTGATTAAGTTACTTTGCAATAATAAACCCATTTTTATCTTTATCTTTATCAACGAAAATTTCATTAAGGATAACTTCGGGTCTTCGCAGAAGAAAATAATAATCGTTAATAAACTTTTAAAAATAAGTATAAAATCAAAAACATTGTCATTATTTTTTTTTCGTTTAAAACGCTTTGATAAAAGCAACAAGTGTAGTTAATGCCGTGGTGAAAGGTAATAATTGTGGAACTTTGGTAAAAAGCCATGTTTATTTGCTTTAATGAGCAAGGTTAGGACTAACTAGTGAGTGCTAACAACGATTAATGAGGTAATTTGCTTTGGTGAGTAAGCAAAAGTTAGCCGGAAATACTGGTAATATTATTGTAATCGTAAACGTAAGGCCGTTAAACAAGCTGCTCAAGTTGTTTTGTCAAATAAACCAAAGCGAGTTTGCAATCGGCTAATAAACGTAAGCAAGGGCAAGAGACTGAAACAAATCGATCACAAGTGAATAAAAGGAACTTTATAAACCATAATTGTTAATTAGCTGAAATGATACTTCGCAATATCACCATTTAACGAGAATCGAAAAATTGGTAAAAAGTTTATTTCAAAATATTATTACAAGATAAGAAATAAAATAAGGATGAAATAAATAAATAAAGAATAAATTTATAGTGGAGATTAAATTAGTCATTCATCAATTCTTTTACCATTGTTACTAGAATCTAATTAATTAATATTGTTGGTAATAATTAATAAGTAGTAATTTCCAATTAACAATAATGAAAATTTTATTCACCTTTGTTAACATTTAGAAAAAAGAGTCACAATCAAGATTATTTAACGAACTATTACTTGTAATTTTTAAGCTTTTAAATTTAGCAATCTCTTCATCTAATATTCTACTTGTATGATATGCATCTGGATGTGATTTGTGTGCTTGTTGCAAAGCACTATCATTGCTAATAGTATGATTACTATCATCATCATTATTTTTTTTGATAATTTCCTTATTTTTTTTATTCCTAGAAAATTCCCAAAGTTCTCCACTAGTTGGTCTTTTTGATGGATCCACATCCCAACACCTCTGCATCATTTGCACATAATCACCAGGCATTCCAGGTAGTGTTGGTGGTCGTAAACCTTCACATATATCAAAAATCAAACGATGATTATGAGCTCTATTATCAAATGGTGGATGACCTGCAAATATTTCCCACATTAACATCCCAACGCTATAGATATCTGATTCTTTTGTGTTCTTTGTGTTATTGCCTCTAAATAGCTCGGGTGCAACATATGATACAATTCCATAGACTTTATTTGATGACTTTTCATCAACTGGTCCACATAATCCTAAATCTGTAATATAACAACCACCTCCACCACCCATTAATAGATTACCACTATGTAAATCACAATGTATTAAATCTTTCCGATGTATATCATTTAATGCACTACATAAATATCTAAATATTGTAATTCTGTCTTTTAATTTTAAATGACTTTTTTGTAAATAACCCCTTAAATCCACTACCAAACTTGGGAAACCAAGTAGGAAAGCACCAAATTGCATGCTTACACTGACAGTCAATTACATAAC